CTCCTCCTCTCGGACCCCCTCCTTGCTCCCCTCCCTCCTCCTCTTCACCTCCCCCCTCCTCTTGGACCCCCGCAACACGCGCCGCCCCGCCGCGATCTGCCCGGAATCCAGGCGACTGGGCCGGGGGCCGCGCGGCGGGCGGCTGCTCCGGCGGCTGCCTGCGCGGCGGCTGCGGCCAGGCCTCCTGGCGTACAGCCGGACTCGATTGGACAGGACACCGTGCCGCGGCTCTCGTGCGATGCAGCCAGAACTCTTAACGGCATACGTGCCCGCAGATGCCTAGCCTGCTCGTTGCCCGAACAAGGTTGCAACCACGAGAAGGACTTGCGCTGTACAGTCGGGGCCAGGACACGCGAGAGGTCACAAGACCCTTCCGAAGGCCACACTGCCACAGGAATGCAGAAGGCATGGGCCGCTAAACACACAGACTACCAGGGGTACCCTGGATTTAGCAGGGTCTACCTACCAATCAAAAAGCCGACTGTGCTCCCCGCCCGCACGGGGCAACCTCGGACGACGTCGGCGCCATTCGCGGCGGCGGTGGCGACAACTCTCGGGATCAAGCAGTGACATCCACATGGCGCCGCTCCTGGTGCGCTCCGCGCGACAGGAAGGGAGGCCCAACGCCGATCCAAGAAATCCGCGTGGACCCCCGACATATTATTGTTATACCATTGCTTGCTCCTCGAAGTCTGGAGCGCGCTGTGTGACGTTTCGCGATGACGGCCGCTACCAAAAACGACCCTCCTGGTAACGTCACGGCTAACGGTAGACATGTAACGCCTGTCGGACGACCCCTGTTGAAGAATTACCAGGCTTAGTTATTGTTCGAGAAGCGAACTAGTAGCACGCACATTTTTTTAGACGACGTGCGTCTCCGCGTGTCACTGGTGTTCTTTTATCCCTCCCGGCCAGCCATCACCCATGCCAGGACCAGTCAGCATCGGACCGACAAATCTCATGGGGGGGGGCGTACAGGTGGGGAATGGGGCAGGTGGGGCTGCAAGAGACTCGCTCCAGGCGGCCTCCAGAAGAAGGAAGTGTGCATCTTAGGACCACCTTCCTCTACGCAATTACCACCCAAAAGCCAGATCGAAGGACGCTTTTCGGACCGGGCCGCACCTGCACGGAGCAGGACTCGAGGCCAATCGGCCACGCCGAGGTGCACAACAGCGCCAGGCCGGCATCGGGCCGCATCAGCCCGTAGCAAGCACGGGGTGGCCACGGCCCCCGCACGAGCCCCTGCTCTGTCGACAACCGCTTGGGAGCGCCTGGGGAGCGCTTGTCATCGCCTTTTCGGAGTTCCGATGCTCCAAGACGACCCGAGAAGCCTGTTTGGAGGATGTTCGAGCTCTCTCGCCCTTTCTAGAACGCGATCCTCGATATGCAGGACCCAAAAACCCCTAAAGATCGCCCCAACACGGGCCGCATCGGCCCCTGGCAGGCACGGGCGAGAGGACGCTGGCCATACACCCGCCACCGATCCCTGGCCGGGCCCTCCCTGTGCCGGGGAGCGGTGCTTGCACCGTCGGGACCGACTGCGGAGGACACCCGAGGGGACACCAGTCGCGGATCGAGGGCCGAGGATCGAGTCGGATCGAGGAGGCTCGGGATCTTGCCATCGCTCGGACGTCCATTTCCGTTGCATGTTTCGGTCTCGTGCGTGTTTTCTTTGCTCGATGGTCCAGGATGGTCCTCGATGGTGCTCGCCGAAAAAAATGCACACGTCCGAGCGATGCCAAGGGATCGAGGATCGAGGCTCGCGGATCGCGGCCGGGTACAGGAGGAGGAAGATTCGGGGATCTTCTGACCCGGGTCAATCCAGACCCGGGTCAATCAGGCCTTGCAGAATCCTGCAAGATCCTGCAAGATCCTGCACCCAAACCCGGGTCAGGGCGAAAAGTCCTGCAAGCCCCTTCAGGATCCTGCGCCCAAGCCCGGGTCAATGCGACCCTGTCCCTGCAGGATCCTGCGAGATCCGGCGCTCTGGCTGACCCCGGTTTGCACTGACCCCCGTCTCTAGAGCCCCGAAAGATCGAGGGCGACCTGCTACAGGGCAGTGGTCGAGGATCGCGGACGGGGTCGAGGAGGAGGTTCGGGATCGAGGGTCGAGGATCGAGGATCGGAAGGAGGAGGTTCGGGATCGAGGATGGATCGCGGACGGGGTGGAGGAGGAGGAAGATCGAGGGCGGGCCCGGCCCGGGGCGCACGCCGAGGGCCAGCCGCTGCGGGCACGGCGAGAGGGCATGGGGCGCGGCGGGCAGGACGCACGGGCACGCCCACTGCTCTGGCACGGCATCGTCGACCTGCTACAGGGCAGTGGTCGAGGATCGCGGACGGGGTCGAGAAGGAGGTTCGGGATCGAGGGTCGAGGATCGAGGATCGGAAGGAGGAGGTTCGGGATCGAGGATGGATCGCGGACGGGGTGGAGGAGGAGGAAGATCGAGGGCGGGCCCGGCCCGGGGCGCACGCCGAGGGCCAGCCGCTCCAGGCACGGCGAGAGGGCATGGGGCGCGGCGGGCAGGACGCACGGGCACGTCCCACTGGTCCGGCACGGCATCGTCGACCTGCTACAGGGCAGTGGTCGAGGATCGCGGACGGGGTCGAGAAGGAGGTTCGGGATCGAGGGTCGAGGATCGAGGATCGGAAGGAGGAGGTTCGGGATCGAGGATGGATCGCCGACGGGGTGGAGGAGGGGGAAGATCGAGGGCGGGCCCGGCCCGGGGCGCACGCCGAGGGCCAGCCGCTCCAGGCACGGCGAGAGGGCATGGGGCGCGGCGGGCAGGACGCACGGGCACGCCCACTGCTCTGGCACGGCATCGTCGACCTTCGGCGGTGGACAAACCTCCCTTCAGTAGACCTCCCCTCAGTGAAAAAGGCCTGGGACCGAAACCGACGGACCTGGACCCGCAAAACTGACGGCCGCGGCGCCCTCTCGCGAACCGAGAACGGCCAATTCCTTCATCGACGTGTCAGGGCAGGAGGTCTGTCCACCCCCGAGACCTGCTAGTCTCGGCCGCGGGCGCGGGGGGGAACTGAGCAGCAGAAGGCCTTCGCAGAAGGCGGCGGGGCTTCTGAGGAGCCCTCGCGCCTTGTGAGAGGTGTGGTTCTGTCCTCGGGGAAGGCTTAGAAGACTTCTCGGAAGGCCGGGGGACTTCCGAACCTTCCGAGAGGGCCTTCTCCTTCTCGGTTCCCCCCCTCGCTCGCCGCCGATACTCAGACTCGGCTGCACGCTGCTGACACGCCCGAACTGGGGACGGACAAACATGGGGACGATGCCCAACAGCGGACGCTGTCCGAAACTGCCAATGGCCGCTGCTCGGCAAGCGGCGGTTGCCCCAAACGGACAACGCCCGCAACGACACCGACAACGAATCCAACTCACAGTGGGCAAGAACTGCTGCTAGTCTTCGTCACCATCCGTTCCGTCCCCACTTCGGTTCTTCTGATTATTGTCTTTGGGACGAAGGAGTCTAGACGAATCCTGAGCCCAGGAATGATCCGTCCCCACTTGTTTCTCCAGAAAAATGGCTTGGGCTCGCAGGAGTATGCACCGATCCCGGGCCCAGACAAGGTGCTCGTCACCATCCTTTCTTTCGTAGATGCCTCATAGATGGGATCCGAGTAGATGGGGTCGGAGGAACGCGCCGCATCGCCGATGCATCGCTGATGCATCGACGATGCATCGACGACGTCGGCTGCGTATCGGCGACGCCTGCGTGGAGAACGTCGGGAAACACATCGAGCCGCATCGGCCATGCAATGGCGATGCGGCGCCATCTTCCGACCCCATTTGCTCGGATCCTAAACATCTGGGAGGCCCAGATTTCTTTCTTCTGTGCATGATTCACATATTGATTGTCTGGCTGATAGACTGATTGCTCACCCATGCCCTGTGAGGAGAAGGAGGAGGAGGAGGAGGAGGAGGAGGAGGAGGAGGAGGAGGAGGAGGAGGAGGGGTAGAAGGACAAACTAGGTGCGATCGCGTCATATCCGACGTCCTATCACTCCCTCTCATCCCGTACCATGGCATCTATTCCCTCTCTAATCGCACAATCGGATGTCGTAGCATGGCATAGCATCACATGGCATAGCATTGTGTTGAAGATTAGCGCGTAGCATGACATAGCATGGCGTGGCGACGCCCCAAATTCGGGGGGGGGGGCTTCTGCGGCCCAGAAATGAACGACTTGACACCGAATGTGGAATCACTTCCGATGGTATCTTCGGGAGGTCATGTCTTAGATTTTGTGGCCTATTTAGAATGACCGAAAACCATGCCGTGGCATGGCACTGGAGATGACGACGTCAGCGCTGCAGCGGGAACACGGTTCGGAACGAGCGGAAGCGCGGAAATGAGGCCAGCGCTGCAGCGGGAACACGATTCGGAACGAGCGGTGGCCCGACAATGAGGGCAGCGCTTCAGCGAGAGCAGCATTTTGAACAAAAAACCCAAGCGCGGAATTGCGGAAATGAGGACGCGTAGCCTGACATAGCATGGCGTGGCGACGCCCCAAAGTGGGGGGGAGGGGGGGATAAAGTGGGGGGAGGGGGAGGCTTCTGCGGCTGAAAGAATCAACGAATCGACACCGAATGTGAATCACTTCCGATGGTTCTTTCGGGGGGGCATGTTTTAGATTTTGGGGCCTATTCAAATAGATTTGGAAGGACCGAAAACTATGCCGTGGCATGGCGCTGGAGATAATGACGCCAGCGATACAGCGGGAGCACGATTCGCAACGAGCGAAGCGCAGAAACGAAACCAGCGCTGCCGCGGGAGCACGAGTCGGAACGAGCGGCAGCCCGAAAATAGAGCCAGCGCTTCAACCAGAACAACATTTTGAAACAAAGCCTAAGCGAAGACCCGTTTCCAAGGAACCCTGCGTGCAACAAACCAGGGAGCGGAGGGGGCCCGGCCACTTCCTGGACGCCACCAGTTACCAGCCTCGAGCGTATCCCTAACTCGACACGCCAAGAGGCGATGACAATCTTAGGGATTCGCCCTCAACAAATAACTGATTCTCTAAGATTGGCATCGTGTTGAGGAGGTGCCCAGCATAGGGATAGGGATATGTTCCAGGCTGGTAAACCAGGGGAGAGAGGAGAGCAGTGTTCGTGTGGTTTCCTTGTGGAGGGATCAGCCGTCGGGCATGCTCGCGTGGCTCGCTCGCTCGCTGCACTTCGGCCCTCCGGACTCCTGGCGATCGGCCGCGAGCACGCCTGCCCCGAGCCTGATGCCCCGGAGCGGCGCTGCCCGGGTCGGTGCCGTCGAGCGGCTGGCGAGCCCTGGATCGGCGACACGCCAGAGCGACCCCGGGTAAGAGGGACCTTTGGTGCGCGGCTTTTTGAAGGGGCCCCAGGACACACAAATGAATACACACAGATAGAAGTATTCCCCATATTTTCCAATATTTTTTGGGCTTTTGTCTTCCCCCCCCACGTCCCATATTTTCCTACATTTTCTGGGGGATCGACGATTAATTGTGTCTGTGTTTTTTTTCCCCCTCCTGACTTTTGGGGGGCCGCGGGGGGACCACACCCGAGCGCGCAAGACGCGACTACCGCATCGCGCTGGGCGATCGGGGGTCCCCACTGGGCCCGCACCAAAGGTCACTCCGGCGAACGGTCACTCTTATATCGGGGGCGGCCAAGAGGGGGACGTCCAAGAGGGGGGGTTCGCAAATCATGGCCGGCGGCATGTGCGCGGCCCAGGGGGAGGGGCCGGGAACGTAAGGAAATGAGAAGAGGCGCCATGCAATCTGGGGAATCTCATGGCCCCCGCCATGAGATCCGCCCCCCCGAGCCATCACCCCCGCTTGCCGTCGCTCGGACGTCCATTTCCCGTGAATTTTTCAGTTTCGTGTTTTTTTTGTTTTTTTTGCTCGATGGTCAGGATGCTCTTCCAGGGCCCTCGCCGAGAAAAAATGCACACGTCCGAGCGATGCCAGTCTGGGAGGAGGAGGAGGAGGAGGAGGAGGAGGAGGAGGAGGAGGAGGAGGAGGAGGAGGAGGAGGAGGGAGGAGGAGGAGGGGCCTGGCCCCTTGCCCCTCGTGGCCGCGCGCCGCGGCGGTTGCAATCGGCAGCCGCTGCAGCCGCACGCCCGCGGGCGCCGCCGAGCTGCCGCCCCCTCGGCCCGCCACCTGCGAGGAGGCGGCGAGCGCGGACGCCTGGCCCCCCGCCAGGCCGCGCTGGAGGCGGCCGCCACGCCGCGCACCGCTGGCGAGCCTGCCTGGCACCGCCGCGCCAGGCAGCAGCGCGCAGAGGCCAGGGTGCTGCTGAGGCTCCGTTCGGCGGCGCAGGTGTTGGACCAGCACCACTCCGCACAGCAGCACCAGTGCAACCAGCAGTTCCAGCGCCACCAGCAGAACGAGATGGCGCAGCAGCGGACATCGGGACCGCCAGTCGGAGCGCAGCCCTGGCCTTGGAGAAGG